AACAAGGACGTAGCAAAATAATATCGTGCTGCTGCATCAGGACCCAGGCAGTTATTCTAAACTCAGCTGGATTAAAGGAGATGCCTTTGAACTAGCATGTGGCTGAAGTGGAGACTGTAAATTTAAGATGATATTTAAGGTATCGGAAATGATAGTGGGGAAAAGGTAATTGAAAGACAAGCAGCAGCAGAATTGGAAAATCAATTATACTTCATAACAGGGTGTAATAAATTAGTTATCACCACCATTGATAGTGGCCTTTTTAATGTGTGTTCCTTATAGCACAGTGGAATAGAATCATTATGTGGTCCATTTAAATGCCTAAAATGTATTGCGAACTTGTAGCTTTCACATTTTTACTATAAGAAACATATTACAGTACTTGTTGAAGTTCTGCAACTTGGGAAGATTTTATTTTCTTCTAATTGTTTTTCTATTTTTCAAATACTCTATTTCAAAAAACATATATTTTTTTGTGATGGAAAAAAATCTTTAAATTCCTTAAGGAACATCTTACGGAAAAACCTGAACGAACTTTTTGGCCAACTCAATAAAAGTAATGTAAATCATCTATAGTTTCATGCCCTGATACAGCTAATTTCATTTTTATATATTCACTTCTAGCTGCTTTTCTTTTTATATATCATGGTATATAGTTCTAATCAACGTGAGTACTTGGTTTCATATTTTAATTTTACTGAACACTTAAAAATACTTTCGTACTACCATGTACTCTTCATAATTATCATTTTTATAGCTGTGTAGTACATCAGCATGGTCAAATACTATAATTTTCAGTTTCCTACTTTGGGACATTGAAATTTATATAACTATCTCTCTACAATAGGCAATGATGCAATAAAAATTATTACATTAAGCTATCTTTATTTTCTTTTTGAAATTATTTTCCAAAGATAACTTTTCTGATATAAAATTATAAGATTGTTGATTTTAAATTTTTTTAAACCTTTTCTTGCCATAAAACTTTGTTCTGACTTACATTGTCACTAGCAATGTCAAAGTGTACCAGAGTCACCTCAGTTTTGTTAGTATTAGTTATTATTCTTTTGCTGCTAAATAAGTATGTCCATTCTTTCAAATAATTTTAATTTTTTTTAAATTTCTAGTTAGGTTGAAAAGTTTTCTATCATTTTTTGCTACTGGTGGTTTTTCCTGACTGACTTATTTGTATAATACAGTAATATTTTGGATTGTGATCCATTCAAATAAGCTTCTTACACATTATAAATATTAAGCTTTTTTATACCTTTCAGTTTTTTCCTAATCAGGACTTTTCTTTGCATTACAATTTGGTCATTTCAGGTGGTAACATTTTCTGTCTTCATGACCAAGGCGATCAGCTGTCTCCTTTATAATTCCTCTTAGTGACCAAACATCAGGCCATTACCGTTTCCTCCACAGACAAACAAATGTTTTCTGCTAGGTTTTGACAGTTTGATTTTATTTTTGTCTCTGAACATGTGAGTCTCTTGTGTGTAAGAACAGTAGTGACCCCGTTGAAAGAGAACAGGGTCACGGCCTGCAGAGCGGGTCTCAGGTGGCTGAGGGGTGGAAAACAGTGGCTGGAATTCAGAAAGCCGAGGCCTCCAGGCTGAACAATAAGATGATGAAAACTGTTGCCAGGTCACCAGCTCGTAAGGGATTTCTTTTTCTGTTTTTTATGATGTGATTATTTCCTTTTGTCTTGGGAAGCACCTATATTGTCTCAAACTGTGCAAAATACACTGGTGATGCGAGGGGAAACATGGGGATGAGCCCAAGTCCGATGGCAGACTGGTCACACACACACATGCCTTGGCTCCAGCTGGGGGAAACCAGGGGCACTGTTTTCCACTTCCAGTCAGTGGTCCTTCTTGGCTGCACATGGACACCTCTGGGGAGCTTTTATAAACACTCTGAGGCCTGGGTTCCAGCCCATCCTGAGTACTGAGGTGTGATTCTAACATGCAGCCAAGGTTGAAAACCATTGTAATCATTTCGTCAAGAAATCTAATCTGGGCTTCCCTGGTGGCGCAGTGGTTGAGAGTCCGCCTGCCGATGCAGGGGACATGGGTTCATGCCCCGATCTGGGAGGATCCCACATGCCGCGGAGTGGCTGGGTCTGTGAGCCGTGGCCGCCAAGCCTGTGCAACCAGAGCATGTGCTCCGCAATGGGAGAGGCCACAACAGTGAGAGGCCCGCGTACCGCAAAAAGAAAAAAAAGTAATCTGTAAGAGCAGGTGACAAAGAGAAAGAACCAGAAACTACCTGTCCTTTTTCTCAAAAATACCTGCATCTTGATGGCAAAATTTATAGTGGGAACAGGAAGATGGTCTTTGGACATAGCAGAAGTTTCCAGAATCTTCTCTTTACCTCCTCTCTATCATGTAAGGTCCAGGTGGTTCTTTCCAAAAACTATGGAATAGAGTTTGCAAAACCTGGGGGAGCAAAGTATTTGAAAGCAAATCTTGAACACAGTTAATTACTAGGAGACAGAGAGGCTTGGGGGAGACAGAGGGCTGTATTTTCAGCTTCCTTTCTTCCCAGCACAGACAGGGCGCGCACAGGGCAGGCCCACCAGACACAGAGGCTCGCCCACGCAGAGCACGGCTTGGGGAGCACCGCACGCCGCTGGCACGCAGCCCTTCAGGACTGGGTTTTTGCAGATTGGTGCTCACGTGAGCTCCTGTTCCCATGACCCACATTCTCCAAATGCCAGGGCAGAGGGCCAGCAGTGTGGTCGGAGAGCGAAGAGCACTGAGCCAGCCGTGGCTGGAAGCTCAGCCCCGCCCAGGTGCCTCAGAGGTCACGCGGGTTTTAAGCCTCTAGGAATCATGAGAAGAACATTTAATTGTCATTAACCTCACTGGAAAGAATATGGACATCTCAAGATACTTACAAAACAGAAAGGTGGCATTTACCCCATTTTTGTGGCTTTGGAATAAGGGGGAAAATTCTCTAACTCAGCCCTTGCTTCAACACACGGCAGCAAAGATGTATTTCCTATTAGTTTGCCCTGACCAAACTTACAAAAAGAAAAAACTTTTTTTAAAGACTGAGAGCTTGATTTATGCCTTGAATAATCAAGTTATAAGTGGTATAATGAAAGTCCCTAATAAAATGGCTTTGGATACAATGTCTCCCATCCTCTGCCCAGCCTAATGCTAAGGTCTTACTGGGGTGCAGGACGGGGGCAGGAAGAAAACTGTCTTGTCGCCGTTTGGGACGTTGCCCGCTCCACTTTACAGCCCATGCGAACATTATAGTTTCACTATCTTTACTTTTGTGCTTATTGTGACAGCACCTACCTGCGGAAAAAGTTTTCCACTAACCTCACAACAATAAAAGGACCCTGACTTTTATGCTGTTTAATTATTATGCTTACCTTCTCGGAGCCTCAATATCAGCGTCTAAAAACCAGGCATAGCATCACCAACCTGTACAGTTGCTGTAAATAAGAAAACTAGTACGTGCAGAAGCTTTGTCTAAGCGCCTGGCATACATTTCAGCGAGTGGTTGCTGATATGATTGTTATTGTGAGTTGGTGGTTCTGGAGAACCCACTTAGGAGGCTTGGGGGCCGGAAGGCCAGAGCGACCATGACAGAGAGCTGTGAAGACCCATCTATATCTCTGTTCCCAGCACACCATAAACCGAGTAAACACACAGTGAATCGTTGAATTGAGCAATGCACCAACTGCAGGCCGGATGTGAGCCCTGCTCCAGTGCTCGGGCCTCCTACAGCGTTTCAGGACCTGTAACCCAACCAGGACAGCCCATGGCAAAGTCTCCTTCGTTTATGACGTAGTAGATGATCACTATTCAGGGCAGGAGACAGAAAGCAGTTTTAGTCCCTTCGTTATGTCAACATTTAAAGAGGCTCAAATAGGGGAGTTCCCAGGTGGCCTACTGATTGGGATTCCGGCAGGGAACTGAGGTCCCGCAAGCTGTGCGGGCCAAAATAAAAAATAAAAATAATAAATAAAGAGATTCAAGTAGTATTTGGAGGCTACATAACTTTTCTCCTGAGTACACTTTTGTTACTTTATTACCAGGATCATACATGTTCATTGCAGAGATTTTAGAAAATACAGCCAAGCAGAAAAAAATAAAATCATTCTTAATCCCAGATATAGATTTTCTTTAATAATATACTGTGACAGTTTTCCAGTCATTATCATCATTTTTAACAGATTCTCAATATTCCATTAAATAAACCTACCAGTACTTATTTAACCTTTTCCCCGTTGCAGGAATTTTAACCTGCTTTCAATATTCTGTTACTGAAAACCAAGTTGCAATGATATGCTTATTCCTTATTAATTTTATAAATTCCTAGTAATTTGGTGTTTATTGTAACCCTGCTTTTTTGTCAGGCTTTGCAGTTAAGCCGAAAGTTATTTTGCTCGGTTTACGGGAAACAGATTTTCTTATCCAGTCTGAGAATTTGCCCTCGGCCTTGGCAGTGCTGTCATCAACAAGCTCTGTCCTGGGCTGCCCATGTCCAGTAACTGACAGGGAGTCCGTGTACTTGGATCCGAACGCTTAGCACACTCCTTCAGGGCGTGGGATGACTGGGGTCAGTGCCATGGGCTCCAAGCTCTATATATACAGGCCAGTTCATTAAATGTCCAAAAACTGCTTTCCTAACTCCAAACAGCTGTTATTTAAACCCTGGCTGTTAGTTTCAAAAGAACTGGGCAAAAGAGCATGAGTAGATCGACACAAATCCATCACCTCTACCGGGAAGAAAGTGTGTCAGCAGCCCCATTTCCCCATGGAAAACAGCTCAGAAAGGCAGTCGTGTCAAACCACGTGAAATCGGTTAGGTCGTAGGAAAAGGAGAAAGAATAATACTGGGAAAAACAATTGGCCGACCTTATACGTGTTGATTTATAAGCCGAGTCTGTGAGTTCCCCGCCATCCCTACTTGAGACCAATTCGGTTACAAGTTTTAAATTGCCGCTGTGCTGCTACCTAACTGGCCCTTTTCTCTTATAGCTGACACGGCGCTTGGCACCGACGACGTGTATGATGACAAAGGATGCCAGTGTGACGTGTCCGTGGAGGACCTCACCCCACCACTGAAAACTGTCATTCGGGCAATCAGGTTGGTGAAAACCTCTGACAAAATGATTCTGAAACCTCCCCCTGATTATCTGAATCACAATGTTGCTAAATTCTCTTTCCTGCAGGTAAATCCCCCGCAATAATTCCTTTCTCTTTTCCTATTCATCCACATGCCTATTAAATTTTGAAGTATTTTTTTAATACAAAACTTCACTGTGTTCAACACGAGATGGGTTATAAAAGGTGGGTGGGATTTGAAAAGCCAGGCCATACTGAACAGATTACATGAGAATTGGCTTGTGTGTATTTGTGCTTTAAGGACATCTGCGTATAGATACAACTGTATTTTTTAAATTATTTGTATGTCTTGGTGCTTCAATCCATGTTCTGTATTTCGTGTCAAAGAAGAGTCCGTCTTTGCTATTTCAAAGCAGGTTGACTTCTGAGCATGGGAAGCCTGTGTGTTCTGCAGGGGGTTGCTCCTGTCCTGCTGGAATATAATTGTAAAGTCTGACTGTAATACACTTCCTCTGCTGACAGCAGAAAACTGAGAGGGTCCCAAGCAACTTGTATCTGTATTTCCAGGATCCACTCCCCCAAACAATCCAGGATCCAGACTAAATGAACTGCTGCTGTTCAGCCTGCCCAGGGTCATCCCTTTGGGAGAACGTGTATCTGTCAGGGAATGCAGAGTGACTGCAAAGAAATGCCTCTGCTCTTTTTGGCTTTTCCTGCCTCTTACCAGAAAGCCTGAGGAAAGCTGATATCCAACCCAGTTTAGCTACCCAGATACTCAGTCTAAGCTCAGACATGAATATGATGGATTATGTACTTCTGGTCTGAGCATCCTGTTAGACATTGCTGTACTCTGTGGTCGGGGGTCACTGGGAGAGTAGAGGTGAGTTATAAAGATTTTGGTAAATGTTTACGGGGGCAAAGAAAATCATGATATGATGAAAATGTGTGCCCAGAAGGTACTTAAACATTATCTGTAAGCGCCACCTAAACAGAAGTGAAGTCAATCCTAGTTACTTCCCTCTAGAACCTGCAAGCAAACCCTGTGGATGGGGGAGCGTCCCGTCCCGTCCTGTGTGTCCTGGGCCTCTCGTCTCATCATGACTGTTACTGACACTCCATGTCTTTCTGAAAGTCTCCCAGTTTGGACAATGATATGATCACCCTGCCCCGGGGGATCCCAGAAGCCTTGGGTAATATTTAATCCCAGAAAACCCAAGGATACGTAGTAAAATGAGGTCTACAGCCTTCAGTTAAAGGGATGGAAAGGATCTGTCCTGCGCTGTCCAACACTGTAGCCACTGGTCACACCAGGCGATTCAAATTTGAATTAATTAAAACGGAATAAAACGTAAAGTTCTGTTCATCAGTGGCACAGCCACATTTAAAGTGCTCGGTGGTCACGCATAGCCAGTGACTTCTGTGTTGCGCAGAGAAGACATAGTACATTTCCATCGTTGCAGGAAGCTCTATGGGGTTATTGCTGGCCCCGAAGTGACCTCAGCATTCTTTCCATCCATTCCTTACAGCCAGCAGAGACCCCTGGTCTAATTTGCAGCAAGTACAGTAAAATCTTATCTAAGGGACCAGATTAAGTTTCCTAAAAGTCATACTTAACCCAATTTGTGTCATTTCCCGAGACCTTCTGAAGCTTTCTGCTTTTGCCTCACAACCTGCACAAAGAATCCTGAGCTGCAAAAAAGAAAATGAAATAGGTTTATTCTGCCAGCTCAGCACTTGAGCAGCAGCTTGCGATTTACTTTGTTATTATCCCTTCCTCTGGTAACTTGACTGATTTTTGTAAAGTCCCTTGCAGAATTCCCTTGCTCTTCAGAATTCTTTCTTGGTTCTTATTTTTAACAGGAACTTTATTATTTACACGTCTCTCCTTTTTGTGGATTTTGGAAGCTTTCTGCTTTCTACTTCATAACTCTTGATGGGGTGTTTTTCTTCCCTGTATCCTGATTCTGCTTGGTGCGTTTTTTTTTTTTTTAATCACTTCTAAGTTTCATTTAAAATTGTTGGATTCTATAAAAACATAATAGCTACACTCAGTAGTTAATAACTTAATTGGAAGTCTTTGACTCATGATAGAACTTAATTTCTAAATATTAAAGGACCAACCATGGCAGTTAGCACTTCTGAAAAGGATTTGCAGGTGTAAGTCCCTAAATCATATGCAAAAGTGTCCTTTTCATGAGCTTAATTACATAACAAACTGAACATCAATTGACTAGAGTGCTTTTGCCAGAACATGCCCACCACTCACAGCGCACCTTAAACAGGATTTTCTGTGTATGTCACTGATGGCAAGTGCGAACCATCTATTACTCAACTCTAAAATGGCGACTTTGTTTTTGGCATTTTCCTTGTTCTCTTTTGGTTGTTTGATTATTTAATATGACTACCTGAACATGCCTTTTGTCTTCCAGTAGCGCTGACAATAATAATAGTTTTCTCCTAAGAGGCAAATTAAAATTAAAATGTGTAACAGAAGATATGTATGAGATGACAGCATGGAAAATAATATGATTACATTCACAAGAGCAAAGTAGGAATTCTTATTTTCAGTTATTAATATTTATTCAGCATCTGACATTTTCTAGTTATCTTTGAGAATAAATATTCTCGGGCAATGAGATGATTGAGGTCATTCTCTGAATTCATCTGGATTCTATTACCCAAATTCACCGAGACTTGTTTTTTTAATGAATGACATCACTTTTTATAGTAGTGAACAACAGCTATTCTTAGATATTTCCAAACTGTGCCTTAAAAGACAGAAGAATACTTAGTTTTGTATAGTTCCTCCAGGATTACCACAGATTTTTTTCAAAATATTATTTAGTTGGAGTACGTGAAGTTGTTGAAAATGTGTTTTCAAACTCATCTCTGGGGGTGAAAATTGAACTTATTTTTAACAAGAGTTCTATCTATCTTGTTAATGATTTAATTCAAACAATGTTAAATTTCTTTTCATCCACTCATACAAATTAATTTCTAAATAGAAAGATGAAATTAACAGAGAAGTAAACAGACTGACAAGCAAACTGATAAACTCTTGAACATTCTACACACCCAACTCCCACTATACAGTTGACCCTTGACCAATGCAGGAGTTAGGGGCCCCGACCCTCCATGCAGTAGAAAATCTGCATGTAACTTATGACTCCCCCCAAACATGACTACCAATAGCCTACTGTTGACCAGAGGCTTCCCGATAACATAAACAGTCAATTAACACATATTTTGTATTTTACATGTAGTATATACTGTATTCTTACCAAAAATTAAGCTAGAGAAAAAATGTTATTAAGAAAATCACAAGGAAGAGAAAATACATTTACAGTATTGTACTGTGTTAACTGATACAGAAGTATGATTACAAGATGAATCATCTATCAGTACCTACATCAAAATTGTCTTATACGATCCAAAACACTATAGATGTTATATGTGTTACTAACACTAGACATCAAAAGCGAAAAGATAACATGAAAAAGAAGTACGTATTTATTTACAGGTATAACGATTCATGCACTGATAACAAAGAAGCAGCAGTATGATTGCTTCATGGTAGCTTAGCTTGTACACTAATGAATGGTTATTAAAAATTTTATTGCACACAGTATCACAGTTACATCCATAATACAGTATTGAAATAGTGTTAGATTTTTTTAAAAAAACACTTCCCTGTGATGATAGGCTGATATGCAGTTTCTCCCATTATGAGAGAGAGAGAGGCATGCTGTACAGTAATGAAATTCTTTGAAAGTAAAGTCATAAAACAGTAAGAAAACTAACACATTATTAATTTTATATTAAATATCACTCATGCTTAGGTAAATATCAACTAGTATCTACATATATTTTATGTATGACATGCCTAACTTTTTCTTAATTTTTTCAGCATATCTAGCTACACAGTTTGTTTGTCTTTTCAAATTGTCACAAATCTCCAACAATTTTTCCAATATATTTACTGAAAAAAATGCACATATCAACGGACCCAAGCAGTTCAAACCCGTGTTGTTCCAGGGTCCCCTGTATTATCGTGGATTCACTTGCTTGGGCCGCCATAACAAAATACCACCAATTGGTTTAACCTTAACCACCAAACGTTTATTTTCTCACAGTTCTGGAGGCTCCAAGTCAAAAGATCAAGGTGTTCACAGGGCTGGTTCCTTCTGAGGCCTCTCTCCTCGGCCTGCGGACAGCCACCTTCTCACTGTGTCCTCACGTGGTCCTTCCTCTGTATGTGTCTATGTCCAAATTTCCCTTCTTATAAAGACAGCAGTCAGAGCGGGTTAGGGTCTGTGCTAACATCTCACATTAACTTATTCTCCTCTTTGAAGGCCCCATCTCCAAAGCCACTAACATTCTGAGGTCCTGGGGCTTCAACATATGAATTTGCAGGGGACACAATTCAGGCCATAACACATGGCAAGACACCAATTTTTCTATCACTGTTCGAAAAATATTTTCCCAGGCACAATATCAAAATTTTCAGATTAAAAATAAGCCCATCAGTTACCCGGATAATCCTTCGCAATAGCAGACATCCGGGAATATCTGAAGAGGTTGACTGGCTTGCCTTTCAAGCTTGCACTTGGCACTGCAGAAACGCTACATAAGTGTGAGTCTTGGGCAAATTTTCACGCAAAAATTAAGATATGCTCATGTATTTGAAATAATACATTTTAAAGGTCATAGTCAATACAACTCTACATTTATAAAAGGGTCTTGGAATAATCATTGTTTGAAATACAAAAGAGATGTTTGTATTTGTTTCCCCACCGCACGGCAAGGGCTGGATAAGTTCTCAGCTGTGCACAGCAGGACAGCACACGAGGGCTGTGTACAGGCCTGAGCGGCTGGGGAAACAGCTTGGTCTGTGGGAGCCTTGTGGGCGAAGCTCGCCTGCTTCTCACCAGTATTTTTTCATAGAATCACTACATCTAGGGTCAGGGCCGCTCCTAACGAGATCCTCAGCAACAGTGGCTCTCCTTCACATAACTGTGTTTTCTGTCAGTCGGCAAGAAATGAATCAGAATACGGTGCAACCTGTTCTCCTTGTGAGGAGAACCGAGAAACCAGGCAGTGGAGATTACTCAGTATGTGGAGAGCTGGCCCAGAGGCTGTGGGGTGTATCCTGTTCCTTACGTCTCCTGGTAGCCCTGCGCTGTAATCTCCGCACCCCCCTGCCGCGTCTCCCTGGACGCGACGTCTTATCCCCGGGGCAGACTCAGCCTTCCAGGGAATCGGATGAATAAACGAGGTCTGGGGTGAAAACTCAGGGAATCTTATTTTCTAATGTTCATTTTTTTTTTTATTGAAGTATAGTTGATTTACAATGTTGTGTTAATTTCTGTCGCACAGCACAGTGACTCAGTTATACACATATACACATTCTTTTTCATATTCTTTTCCACTGTGGTTTATCACAGGATACTGAATATAGGTCCCTGTGCTCTACAGTAGGACCTGTTGTTTATCCATTCTATAGGTAACAGTTTGCACCTGCTAACCCCAGACTCCCAATCCTTCCTTGAAGCTGCAGCCTGACTGGACAAGGCCTCACTGGCTAATTTTTCCTGCCCCCCTGCCCCCCAGGGCTGCTAAGGAAGGTAGTCCAAGAAACCAAACCCAGCGTGCCGCCGTGCGACCTGGGGCAACTCACATCGCCTCTATGTGGCGTTTCCTCATCGTGAGGTGGGGACGGGGATGGTGCTGACCTTTGCTGCGGTGAGGATTTCACGGGTTACCGTGTGCAGAGCGGCGAGTGCGGGGCAGCATGGGAACCCAGAGCTCTGGGCCCCCTCCTGCCCATCCTCCGCTCAGGCCAGACCCCTCCTCTCTGAGCTCCCCCTGCCGTCGCGGCCCACGTGAAAGGAGCGCTCCTTTTTCGCACCTGGGGGCGCCTGCCTGCCTGCACCCACCCCCTCCCCCAGGAAGCGCCCGCTGTTTCCCCTTGCCGTTTCCTCCTCACCAGGCCCTGCGCTGAGGACTTGCCCAGAAGACCGCCGCCATTAGGAGCTGGAAGGGCAGTTTCTTCACCCAGCACGAGGCAGTGTCCCCATAGCCCCTGTGGGTGACCCGCTGCCGCGCAGGGCAGTCCCACGAAGTCCAGTGGGCCTGAGAGGTGAGCGTGACTCTCCTCTGCCGCCCCCATCCACACGGGCCTCAGGACGCCCTTTAAAGACCCTCCCAGGGGGGCGGATCCTGCGCTGAAACAAGATGTATCACTTCTCCCGTGCGCTGGGCACAGGGGCAAACAGTAAGGAGGAGGGGCCCTGCTTGGAGCCGGGAGGGGCCGTCGTGCGGGCCCCGCGTGTGTGTCTAGGCGGCTGCAGTGACCTAGAGCCAGGGGGCGGGGAGGGGACGGGGGAGAGAGGCCAGGCCGAGGGGAGCCGGCGCCGGGCCGAAGAGCCGGAGGGCGCACGTGCGGAAGTCACTCCTCCAGGCTGGCGCTGCGCTCCCACGCTCAGGACGGTGACTCTGACCGCAGCGCGGGAGCGGGCTGGGAAGAGGGGACACTCGTTGTCACAAGGCCTGGATCTGCGGGGGCCGGGGCCACGCAGTCACGGTGAAGGGAAGCAGGGATGACGCCAGGGTTTGGACTTCAGTGGTTGGAGAGGATGGAGCGGAGGAATCGAGGGTGAGACAGGCGCCCGGGCCAGCGCTGGGGCAGGGGGGCGGGTAGAGACGGTGCACTGTTGCGAGTGCCATTGGAGGGGCCGCCCAGCAGGCAGGTGGAGCCCTGGATCTGAAGCCCGGGAGAGATGCCTGGAACCAGGACAGCCTTGGTGGTCGTCAGCGCAGACGTGGATGGTTTCCAGAAGCGTCCCCTGGAGAGCGTGGAGGCAAGAGAGACGGTGGTCCTCACAAAATCTCCGGCTCAGGAACCGTGAGGAGCTGCGGAAGAGAGAAGGCGCTGATCCAGAGGGACCCGGGGCAGCCAGACAGAAGGAACCAGGAGACGGGGCGGAGGACGAGCCGGGGCAGCGTTGGGAGCGGAAGGCGGGTCCACCGTATGAAAGGCTGCTGGAGGTCAAGAAGAGAAAGGGGACCTACTCCTTTCCAGGAGGTCCCTGGGAAGCGGCACCAAGGAAGTCACCGGGAGCTTTGGAGAAAACCTCAGTAGAGGCAAAAAAGGTTGAAGCCAAGGGGCTTCCCTGGCAGTGGTTGAGAGTCCGCCTGCCAATGCAGGGGACACGGGTTTGAGCCCTGGTCTGGGAGGATCCTACATGCCGCGGAGCAGCTGGGCCCATAAGCCACAGCTACTGAGCCTGAGCTCCGCAACAAGAGAGGCCACAGCAGTGAGCGGCCCGCGCACCGCGATGAAGAGTGGCCCCCGCTCGCCGCAACTAGAGAAAGCCCTCGCACAGAAACGAAGACCCAACACAGCCAAACATAAATAAATAAATTAAAAAAAAAAAAAAAAAGGTTGAAGCCAGATTGTAAAGCCATTTTTTCAAATTACCTATGAGAATCTTTCACGCTAATAGGAACATAGGTGAGGCATCAAGAATTTCTTTATAACTAGCAAAGACTCAACATGGGCTCTTCTAAAATCGCTCGGGTCTGATCAGCCAAGCAAAGAGCCACCGATGACCTGTCAGCTTCTGAGGGTGTGCAAAGCGGGCCTTGCTGTCACCCGGCGCCAGTGCTGAGGTTTTCGGGTTTTCTCGCCCTGTGCTCCACCTACTCCAGGAGGCGTGCACGTTCTCCTCTAAAATGTATTTTCAGTTCTGCATCCTTCTTAAATCTCACTTCAAACTTCAGGCAAGAATACCCCACAAATAGAGAAGAAGTGGCACGTGTTTGCCACTGTGGGTTTTTGTTAAATCTGCAAGCTGTTTAATCATCACCAGTCCCTAACTTTGCTGATGGCGTCTCTGCTATTTTAGAAGAGATGGTGAGTTTGCAAGTCGCTATGAAGTCATTCTGGACAGCCAAGTCTGTGACACATGACAGTACAGGATGCTGCTGGGGAATATTTTATGGATCATTTATGAGATTTTTTTAATCAGCTAATACACTCCCTGGAATATTCTTTTTTTATATATAAATTTATTTAGTTAAGTTTGGCTGCATCGGGTCTTCGTTGCTGTGCGCGGGCTTTCTCTAGTTGCAGCGAGCGGGGGCTACTCTTGGTTGCGGTGCGCAGGCTTCTCGTTGCGGAGCACGGGCTCTAGGCACGTGGGCTCAGTAGTTGTGACACGTGGGTTCAGTAGTTGTGGCTCCCAGGCTTAGTTGTTCTTCAGCACGTAGGATCTTCCAAGACCGGGGATCGAACCCATGTCTCCTGCATTGGCAGGCAGATTCCCAACCACTGCGCCACCAGGGAAGCCCTGGAATATTCTTTTTGTTTGTTGCCATTTTGAAGATAATTGCTTGTGACCGCATTTTGCCCTGAGGCTGCATTAAACCAGTGTGTTCACCGAAAACGCACTTACTTTGCAGCATCTAATTTTTAACCTTTTATTTGGGTATAATTTAAACTGAATCTCCTGTTCATTGCTGAGACGAAAACTATTCAGGAGCAATCAGCATGTATGGGCACTTTGTTTATTTACTTATTTGTTTCACACTTTAAAATTTACACAGGATTTTACACTCCTAGGAAAATAAAATGCCCAAATATAGTTACCGTACTAGTGCTCACAAAAATCCTAGGAAGGAAAGTTACCCATTTGTAGACTTGCCTGTATCCAGAAGTTCTTACTTGCATTTTACTACTCTTATCTCTTTAAAAGAAGACCAAACAGAATGAACAAAAGAACTTACTAAATCCTGAATCTAAAACAATATTACGCATTAGAAGAAAAACCCTACTCCCAGTGATGGGAGCAATGTGACCACAGAACTTTCCCGACCCCTAAGTCAGCCAAGGGAGGTATCTGCCTGCCCCTTTAGTGACGACACCTGGTAGATTGTATACAGTGGGGCTAATTTACATCTCTATCAAGAGCTGAAAGCAAGAAAATGAGACTGGCCAGCGCATCCAGGCAGCCCTGGGGTTCCTTAGTCGCTGGCTAGTAGCCCAGTCTGAGATGACAGGATGGTAAAGGAGTCTCGGTATGCGATTCTATAACTAGTTTCGAAGAGTCTCAAAGTCTAGATACCGTATACACAAATGCAGACCTGTATTACTGGGTCATGATTATGTATTAACAGGAAAATAACATTAATGAATCATCCAACTAGTGATCCACATGCCTTGGGTGGTGACCCACATTATCAAATTCTAAGCCTGGTTGGCTGCCACATCTGCCCCGTGATCAGCAGCGCCCCTTGACTGGACTCTAAAAGGCTCGAGAGGGCTGCCTCGGGAGAGAGTCGGCGACCAGAGGCCCTGGGTCACTTGCAGGACGAGCCCCGGGCCCCTCCTTTTCAGGCGGACAGATGCTGTATCTCTCCTGGGGAGTCGGAATCAGGGGATTGAATTTGCTGAACAGCGAAAGAGGTGGGTATGGAACGCTCATCAGTAGAGGTGACGGACACGACGCACCGACATGAAGTGGGGCGCATCCACACCAAAAACATGAGGTCTGGGACATCAGGCGTCCATTTCTGAGTCCTGAGGAATTTGGTCATCTCTCCCCAGAGATGGGGGTGCATGCAGGAGAAGTCTGGGGTACACACTCCTCTCCTGCTTGTCTGCCTGCCCTCCTGACCGATCCCCGGCCTCCAGCACCGAGCCTGGCACGTCATAGGCGCTCAGTGAATGTGTGACGAGTGACTGATTCGGTCCCTCTTTCCAGCATCACTCAGGGAAGCAACCACCCTGAGCTCGTCCAGGGCCCCAGGCTCTGGGCACATGGGCTCTTGAGTCCTGTTAGAGCTCCTGGAGAGAGGACTGTTCCTCCCACCAGGACGCCGCAGAGGGACAGACGGCAGCCACGTGGTCCCTGGAGGCTTCTTCAGCTCCTTCTCAGCACAGCCAGGGCCCACACACACACCGTGGTAGGAGGAGCTCGATGACTATTTATTGAAAGAATGAATGGACCCGTCACCCAGCACTTGCTTCCCCTTCCAAGGCAGTCCTTGAGAAGCTAATGGGACTTGTTAGCTGGCTCTCGCGTGGCACTTCGGGTCTTACGCCGCAAGCGGGGGCAGAAAGCACTGGGTTGTGTGTGACTGGGGGTCTGACACCCAGGCACACGGACGCACTGCCTCTTGGGCACGATTTGTGTGACTCGGAAGACGACACAGACCCGCCGTCACTCTTTCGTGTGGAGGCCATCCTAACCCAGCCCAATCCCACCCCAGTCCCACCGCCTGTCAGTCGTTCTCAACCTGGGCTGCAGGTTCCAATCACCCGAGGAGGTTTATAAAGCCTCTGGATCAATTAAATGACGTTTCTGGGGGTGGGACCCAGGCATCGGTGTGTTTTAGGCTCCCTGTCTGATGGCAAGGGGCAGCGGGGGCTTGGGGACTCTGCTGCCTTTACGTAAAGCCCATCAAGCTGCCTCCCTGGTTCAGTCGGCTGAGCCCTCCGCCCGCACGAGGTCTGGCTGTCGGCCGCCTGTCCATCTGTCTGGTGGTGGCACAGTCACCGCCGCTTCTGTTTTCTCGTCGTTCTTATCTCTGCATATTCGTATGCCGGGTTTTTACCCTGACTCAGAGAGGCCTGGGACAAGACTTTTGCAAGATTCTGTAACTCGTGGCAGCACAACAAATGCACCTACACTTCCTTATAAGTGCA